CGTGTCCGTAGCTTCATGTGACAGGAGTTTCAGAAAATTAAAATTAATAAAAAACTCTTTGCATGCAACAATGACCCAATCGCGACTTAGAAATCTTGGTATATTAGCCATCGTACACGAGGCAATACAAAATATAAATTTCGATGAAGTTATTGCTGAGTTTGCAGCTGTCAAAGCTAGAAAGAAGAAATTTTAACAATTCCTTTTCTGTCGTAGTTATTATTGTGTTTTGTCATTTCTTCAATATTATAAATAATAAATGATCCATGTCCTTTATCATATAAAATTTATTGCTTTTTACTTTTGATGGGGTGACACCACCAACTTCCGCACCGGGTGCCACCCAAGGTAGCTACGCCACTGATGGCGATAGGCCTGTAGTTGGACGGGTCTGAGCGGTCGCCTTTTTTAGGGAGCCGTCTTCCATGATTTCGGGACTACGCCTGCGAACTACGCTCCGAACCGAGTACTGTGTGAACTGCACTTCCGACATGGAGCACTCACACCGCGGGATGGTCGGCGGCGTACTCCCCCCGTCATGGCGAGTCGAGTTGGACGCAAAGAAAGAGCCTGGAAGATCGGCTTTCTCCTCTGCGGTATGGGCCAGTGAGTCATCCTCCCTGTGCAGAGATGGAAGTGATGGCTGACAGAAATTCCCCTGGACAGCCTTGGCGAGAGACCAGAATGCACGGGTTCGAGAAGGAAGGCGAACTAGTTTCTCGCCAATTCTGCCTATGTGCTCTGGCAATGACTCTTTTGAAGGACCTGGAGGCGGAATTATACTTCTTTTTAAGTGCACTGGTATTTATATCCCGGGACGTTGATGCGTCAGCCCAGGCTTGATAGCACTCCTGCTTATAGCATGATTGATGACTATTTTACAGGAGCGACCAAACCATGGCTGAGATTTGCCTCCGATGGGCACCACAGAGGAAGGAATAAAAAGTTCCATACCCTGAAGTACCACATCAGACATAATCGTTGGGATCGTCTGGCGAGAAGCAAACCCACCCCCAAGGGTAGGATGCGAAGAAAGACCGATCCTATCCCAATCGGCTGACCTATAGTGCCAAACACGGCGGCAGCCTGCAGAATGCAACTGCGATTTCAACGTGAGTGGCACCACACTCCGGACAAGACAATAGTCCAAGGAGTCTAAAGGGGCGTCGACGGAAATCTGATATTCGTCCGGGTGAGAGGTCATCAGAAGGTCCAACAGGGAAGGTGCATTATCCTCCACATCTGGAATCCGCGTAGGCGAAGTAACCAGTTGTGTCAGACCATATGCCAAGGCAAAATCATGAACAGATCTCCCTGCATGTTCGGTTAAACGTGAAACAAGTCATTCGGCGTGATGGGCGTTAAAATCGCCGAGGATTACGATCTCTGCGAAGGAGATCTGCTGTAGCAACGAATCTGTAGCCATTTGGACGTGGTCGAAGAGTCGGTCTGTTTCGGCATTACCGCTATGGGACCTATAGACGCGCGAATGGTCGTCGCTGTCTACGCGTAGCCAAATGATGGATAGGACCGAACCTTCAAGACTGCCGAGGCTTCGAGAACAGATGTCCTCTCTGACCTAAACGCAAACTCCAGCCCGAGGCACAAAGGAACGTTCCAGTTTGTACCCCGGGTAGGAGAGATACGAGACAACAGCCGGAGAGGACACCTGCGTCTCGGTCAGAAAGAGCAGAGTCGGCCTCGCCGTCTCGAGATGGTAGTAGACGGCGTTTAGATTAGAGTGAAGTGCCCTGATATTGAAGAAATTCATGGATAGCATGTCAGGGGTCGCCTTGGTCTTGTTGCTCCGTCTGCCCCGAGCAGTTGTAGTCTTGAGCGGAATTCCCCCCACACCCCCGGCTGAACACACACGCTCAGGAGTGGAGTAACTTGGTCGTGGATGCTCAGCGAGGGATTCTCCAGGGGTGCTGGTGCCCTCCGGGGGTAGTCTAAAATTTAATTCCGCTACCATGTTGATGGGGGGGGGGATTGGGCATCCGGCCACCTGCACTCACCAGACGAAACGCGGAAGCCTAGCTTCCACTTCACGCCGGTATTCTGTAAGGTCGTGGTACCACCCCGGTTTGAGCCGGCCCATACGTGCAACAGCAAAGCTGCCGCGTGGCTCTACTTAGCAAACCGTTTGGTGCGAATGCGTGGTAAGTCAACAACGAAAGGGTGGAGACTAGCCGAACGTCTGGTTGTCCGGTGGTTGAAGGGAGAGGGAGGAATTAAATTATGCAATTCCTGCGCACACTCTCCGAAATGCATCCTGTAGAAAACCGAAAGGCTGGCTACTTTGCGCCGGTGTTCGAAGCTGGTAAAATTGGTTTTAACTACAGAAATCGTAATAATATCTTATTACTATTTCTGTATTAATATATTATTACTATTTCTGTGGTTTTAACCAAATACGAGTCACCAACAAGCCTCTTAGCACGCCTTTTCATTGAGTTCAAAGCTGCTAGGTGGTATTTTACAGCACCAGCCCATATATGGCAGCAATACTCCATGCACGACCGGACTTGCGCTTTATATAAAGTAAGCAGCTGTACCGGCTTGACTCCTAGCTTCCTTGCAGCTGCTTTGGCCTTGGACTCAATGAACTGCCTGAAGTTCAGATTTGAGGATATCTCAACCCTCAACAACTGGAAGTGGTCGGTGTATTGCATTTTGATTCGTAATCGAGGATAAATGTAGATGTCTATGGGCCACAATAACCACTTACCATCAAGTGGACTGTGTGCTCGTTTGTCACCCTATCCTATAAAATAAAAAAAATAGAATATATTATAAGGCTTTCATTTAGAATTTTTGATTAAGTAGTTATTTTGCCTTATAGTAAAATTAAATTTATTTCAATGTTATTATATGTTGCCATTTATTCTTAAAGCATTTAGACTTGCACTTTGGGGCCCCGGGTTCTGCTACCGCACAAAACAAGTGTTTGTATAGCCTACAGGTTATTGTTACAGATGCATGAGAAAACCCTTTAATGAAAAAAAAATGACTATCATTCATTAATGTTTGATGTGATATGAATAACGATTCATATAATGAATATATTATCATTATTTTAGACAGCAAAAAACCAGCAGTCTAGAAAGTGGTTATTATAAAAAGAATATAATTGTGCACCTTACATTTTGATTATTTTATGACTATTAGTCATTGTATTGTTAAGTGAATATTGAAATTTATAATTCTTTTTCAAACTAAACAATTATCTTTAGCTAGCTGTCCCCGGGATTTCACCCGCGTTTAACTTTGGATTTTCATTTTTTTTTGGGTAAACCCTAATTACGTAACATAACATAAACACTCACGCCTGTCACCCAGAGGGGTAGGCAGAGACTACGGACTTCCATTTGGCACGATCCTGACATACCTCTTTCGCCTCCTTTACATCCATATATCTACACATACATGCTCGTCGGTTAAGCGTACTTCTAACGTTTCCCATTTTCAAAATATCGCCAATTTGGTCGATAAACTTTTTTCTAGGGCGTCCCTTCCCGACTCTGCCGTTCACATCTGCCATATAAATTTGCTTTGTCACTCTTTCCTCATTCATTCTTTCTACATGACCAAACCACCGAAGCATTCCTTTCTTAATCCTGGTCACAACATCATCTTTCATACCACATTTATCTCTTATCACGCAATTTCTCACCCTGTCATTCAGATTCAACCCTAGCATACTCCTTAACCGCATTTCTACAGCATTTATTCTACTTTCGTGCTTCTTCTGCCACACCAAGCTTTCACTACCATACATTAAAGTAGGGACTAACACAGAATTATGAATTACCATACGTGCCTTTTTTGACACATTCTGTGAACCCTAATTCTTTTATAAAAATATAAGTAACCTTGTTACTAATTATAACATCAACTATTTTCCAGTTATTCCAGTCAAAATCGGTTCAGCCATTTTGGAGATTACCCGGAACAAACAGACAGACAAAAATTTTAAAAACTGTGTTTTCATTATAAGTACCATATATATATACTTTCATATGCATTTACTAAAAGCTATTATTTTGATATTACAAACGGCCACTTCAATATTATTATTTTGTATAGATGAAATATATACAATATTAAAAAACTATTATATAAGAAAGGTACTTTGGCATTATCCCGTTGAGTAATGTCATCAATGGCCAAAAGTCACCAATCGGTAATGGTAGGTTGAGGTGCGGCTGGGGTGGATCTTGCTACCGCATAACCCCATACATTACAGCCTACAGCCTATATCCTATATACGTCCAATTGCTGGGCACAGGCCTCCCCTCATTTCTGAAAGGTTTTTAGGGCAAGGAAGTGTCCACCATGCTGCCCCAATGCATGTTGGGGAACGTCACATGTCTTCGAAATTAATTTTTTTTCTTATTCCTCTGACATGCAGGTTTCCTCACAATGTTTTCCTTCACCGCCGAGTATGTGGTAAATCAGCATTTAAAATTGCAATTAACAATTTCATTGGTGCCGGCAGGGATCGAACCCAGGTTACTCTCGTTCCGTTATATTTACAGCGAGCGTTAACCATCTGAGCTACCACGGCTCATACCCCATACATTATGTTGATATAACCGTTAACCATAAATAAATTAAAGTAGCATTGAGGTTAACAGGAGAATCCCAAAGTACCAAAAAACTAAAACTAATAATTATCATCATTATGAAACTAGTAACTTAAATCATCATACAGTCTACTCCAACACCTGTATTCTGCCAAGAACGCTGCGGTTCATCGCTGAATGGCTATACTTAGACTTTGACCGAGAAAAGAACCAGCCTTCTTATCACCAACAGCGATGGCTAGTCATGGATACACTTCCTCTGGAACTTTACCTCACGTGGACCCCACAGATATATATTTAGGGAAAAAAAATATTTTGGATTTTTTAATAACACTTTAATTATTTACAAAAGAAACTTTGAATTTTGAAAAAGTTTATATATTATATGCTATCCAACCATAGTTCTCTTCCTACCTCTAGCTCGGACTTCATCAAATTTGCTCATAATTTCTTTAATATTGTTCCTACTGAAATTTTTGTATGAATTCAAAATTGTTTCAAACAAATCAGGAAAGTTATTATGAGTACTTATCAGTGCCCTTTCTAGTACATATAAATCAACACCTTTATCCTCTGTACTTGTATCTATAAATGATAGTCCAAAATCGATCATTACTAATTCTATATTGTCATAGTGGAACCATGTAGTGTCATCCTGTACATTACTCGGGATTTTTTCAACTAGTAACATGTTTGAAGTTGTTAAATCACCATGTATGATGTTGTTCTCATGCAATTTCCGAACTGTTTCACCTATTTGCTTAGCAACAAAATTTAAGGCATCATCAATTTCTTTTTCATTTTTTACAACAACATTTATTATAAAGTCCTTTACCGTAATACTGTTTTCAAAATGTTGCATATAAATACGACGTCTTTCAAAGTCTACCAAGTATAATGTTGGTGTTTTCACGCCAGCGGTTTTACATCGAACAATTGACCGTGCTTCGTTTTTAATTCTTTCTTTGGTTATGCTTACGTCTAAATCTGTGTGCCGATAATGTTTCTTAAATCTTTCCTTAATCAAAGTAGGTTTTCCTAGATAATTACATATGAACAACCTTGCTTCTGCCCCTTGTTTTAATATATTTAATTCTTCACACATTTTTAATAAAAAAATATTGTCAATCACTAATTCAAATCTGTTATTTTGGCCCTCTATGTTATTGTCGAAAAATGTACTTGGCAAAGCGAAAATAAATAATCACTGTTGTCTTGAATAATAATTTTACTACATAATATTATATTGAAATATCTCTTGACTTAAATAGTTCGTATATTCCTTTTATTGGGTTTGTTCAGAAATACTATAAATAAATTAGTTATACATTAAATATATAAAACCATGAAAATTAATATTTTTGTAGTAAACTAATGCCGTAATCGAATAACAGTGACACGTGCATGCATCTGTCAAAGACCAAAGTGTCAAGAGAGTCAAGCAAGAGCCTTGTTAAATAACGTTTCGTTTCATGTAATATTATGCTACATGAATATTAAAAAAATACAATGTGTTAATTTTACACTTGATCAAACGAAATGTGCGGATACTAGATAAAAAATCAACGTGAAAATTAGGTAACGTTACAAGATGAACTGTTTAAAATAGCTAAAGCTGCCTGCATGCCTTACGAGAATGAGACCCAAAAATCGTTCAAACGACAATTCACTCTCTCACTCACTTGTTTCGCCTTTCCTTGATCTATCTCTTTCTATCTTTACGAAAAGTGATAGAACGCATGTTATTTTGGAGAACTTGTACAGTAAGCTATGTAGTTAATAAAACATGCTAAAAAGGTTATCTCAACGTACTAGTTTTGAAGTTACAGACCAAAAATTAAAAAGAAAAGTATATTTTAAAAAAAAAATGATCTTATTTTTTTTTTGCTTGATATCGTAGGTTTTTTTAATTTTTATTGCTAGTTAATCTTTCTACCTTCCAAATAAAACTACTTTGAAAAAAAATACAGCGTTTACTTAAAGAGAAAATAATTTAAAACCGAAGGATGGGAATTTTACCAAAAAAATAAATAAAATGCTTTTATTTTTTAAATAGTTTACATAATAAAAATTTCTATTTTTAATGATAATTTAAGTATCCGCACATTTCGTTTGATCAATTGTAAAATTAACATATAGTATAGTAGTAGTTAGACCTTGAATGGTCTTAGCATATTACATATTATTTACACAACTATAATTAAATAAATATTTTGATTTGTCGTTAATAAAACTAAATAATGGAATAGTTATGCCGTAATAGCTTACCTAAATGCTAAGCGCTCGCAATACACTGATGTCCAATACTCTATTATCCCATAACTATTTTGCATCTAGATGATTTTCTTAAATCTTTCCTTAATCAAAGTAGGTTTTCTAGATAATTATTGAATTTTGTTACAGCGCTCGCAATACACTGATGTCCAATACTCTATTATCCCATAACTATTTTGCAATCATTGCAAACTTGAGGAAACTGCTCCATTTACCATCAGGTGGAATGTATAAGACTATAAGGTCGTTTATCACCTTTATTTTCTTGTAAAAATATAGATCAGGGAAGCTTCTGATTTAGTATCAGATATACAATGCATTTAAACCCAAAAACAATGACTAACTAAAAAAAGATGTAAATGTTTAAAAATTGGATTGCTGCAAATTAGAGTTGTTCGAATAGGCCACTGACCTACCAAGTTCCTTGTAGGAAAACATCCTGAGGAAACATGCATGTTTGAAAAATAAAAACATTTTGAGAACATGTAGTTCGTCAATCATATTCCTGCTTTCTAATACTCTTAAAGAAAGAACTATGTTCACTAGTAGCATGATGGCCGTTACATTACTTTCACGTATCATTTATGTTGTATGGAAATAAATTATAGAAATCAATGAAATGCTAAAATATGGTAAATAACTCATTTAAAAACTAATTTTATGACAGTTTTACTAAAAGTTTGATTAAAGCACCAACGATTATTCTACAGCCCAGCGAAGCTTAGTTATAAGCTCATCGACTTGTGTTAGCCCTAGCCTGAGCAAATATTTTTACAAAATAAAAATGATTGTATCTGTACTTCTAACACTGTGTTCAAGCCTACATAATACACTGCTAAAATCAGTCGGAAGAACTTTATAATAATCTTAATCACTTTATCCGCATCATCATTTTTTTTACTTTCAATAAATATGTATTTAAAATAGTAAATTAGGTCCACTTAGTATTTAAATATACACGAATTAGTATTTAGTTTAGTTATTCACTTTACATAAAGATGCGTGAAACGGAATCTGAAAATGAAAACAAATCGAAATCGACATGTAAGAACCGCACCTTAGGTATATTCACCACTCAACCATTCGTAGGTATTCTAAAACCATAATATCTACTATATGACATACATATGCATTCATATTACGCCAGTCTATGTAGCTTGTACGTATCCATATCCATTCCATTCGTCGGAGAGCAAGGGAGGCTGTGTGGGCGTGTGGTATTGGTTGGTTGTTGCACCCGTGCCGGCCGGCGGCACAAGTTTACATTAAACACTCGAACGCTTAATTCAACCAAATACATTAATGGAGACAGTGATTTACAGAAACTATTGACCTTTTAGTGTTATCGCGACGTTCGAACACCGCCCTGTCTCTTAAAATCCAAAATTGAAACGTGTGCATTTATTTTATTGACAAATAAATAAAAACGAACATCTTTTTCCTTAGGTGTCAGTGTTTTAATTTTTTTTGTGAGAATGTCTGTAGAAGGTTTGGAGTATGAGACCATCGTGCAGAATGGGCCTAAAAAAGTAAGTTCTAATGTAAAATAAATTAAACATAACACCGCGTATTATTTTTCTTTAATATTTATTATAAATAAAATTTATAAGTATATATAATGAATATAATAGTACAAAAATAATATGAACACAATATATAAAATTATGGAGTGCGCTTTGATCAGTCGGAAAAATGTCAAGCAAAAAAAATGTAGGCATACTTAAACTTGCCTGCACCTATAATGATACGTAAAGGAGGGTGAGGCAATGTCCTATACAAATGTCTGGGTGCATTTTCGTAGATATACTATGCAGGCGCGCCACAGAACATCGGGTAATGTGATTTCCGTCTGGATTTAATTCAGAATTCTATACAAATACAGTTTTATGTAAGAACAAAAGTTTTATAATGCCTCAAATTTAATGACGTTTGAAACAAATATTACAGTGCTAGAAAAAAAAGTTAAGAAAATAAATAATCACTGTTGTCTTGAATATAATTTTACTACATTTTATTATTAAATATCTCTCGTCAATAGTTCGTGTGTTCCTTTTATTGGGTTTGTTCAGAAATACTCTATATTCAATAAATTAATTAATCACTTGATTTGAAAAGTTAACTTAAAATAAAAAGCTATTCAAAGAACTAAATCGAATATAAAAACATTTCAATCTGAAGTCAGTAGCCTAATGACTTCAGACTTAAAAATAGAACTTAATTAAGGCCCTGAGTTTAGAATGTAAAATTATTTTATACTTTTTAAATTAAAGTCGGCTTTCACTTTTTATAAAAAGTTAATTTCTTTTACAATTTTGAGCGATGTAAGAATAAATCACAACCTAAGTGTCATAAATGTTACCTACATTAAAAAAATTTTCCTCTATTTTTATATATTGCCCTCGCTTACAAGTGAAATTTTCCCTCCAAATTTATATGGGACTTCCCCTGAACTATAAACTATTTAATAAATAAATAATTATCAAAATCGGTTAAAAATTGACGAAGATATTGCCTAACATACATACAAAAAAACCAGTCCAATTTTCAACTTCCTTTTATTGAAGTCGGTCGAAACTTTAATAGATAGAATTTCAGAACATAAATTTAAAATTTAAATTACTGTTTGGCTGTATGAAAATCAACGCTTACACTTGGTGACGAGTCTGTTTACCTAAGACAATTTTTTAACTACGACCAATAGGTCTTCTTCTCGCCGCAAGAGCACAGGCGAGAGTGCGTGTTGCCAGTGATGTCATATGGAACTGAGACGTGGTCCATCACTGCTATCTGTATAAGGAAGCTGCGGGGTTAACCAAGGTGACTTTCTACGATCGTTAACGCTATAGCAAATTATAAAAATGAATGGAAATCATATACAAGATGACCTTCAAAAAAAGAGATTACTCCTTTCTAAAAGGCCCGCAACGCACCTGCAATTCCCTTGGTGTAGCGGTTGTTCATGGCTGGCGGTAGTCACTTACCATCAGGTGAGCCGCATGGTCATTTGCCCACTCTCCTATAAAAAAATAAATCCGTACGTTAAGTTGGTTAAATCATGTGATAGTCATATGACTTAGGGTTAATTTCATTTATTTTTGTAATTTTCTATTGCGTGTAAATATCGTAGAATGTCATCTTGGCCAACCCCGGTAGTCGCTTAGCAAGCTATGCTCGGAGTTTCTCTTCGCTACAGAACCCGCAACGATAGTAATATCAGCAGCAGAACCAGAGTAACCGAAGTAGCCCAACGGAGCAATAAGATGAAGTGGCAATAGGCGGGCCATATAGCTCGAAGATTCGATAATCGATGGGGAAGAATGGTTCTAGAGTGGCAGCCTCGTAAAAAGTGTATCATGGCCCTCCACTAAATGGGTGCAGGTGGCATTACTTGGGTAAGGCCTATATTCAGCAGTGGACTGTTGAAGCTCTGTGATACTGGTGATGGCAGAGGATAGATGCATGGGACGCCACAAGAGACGGTCACCGGCGTTCATGGATATCCTGCAATGATATTGCTTATATAAAAATCAATAGTCCGTTGGTCTCGCTAAAACTCAAAAACAACTCGACCGATTTTGATGAAAGGTTTGTGTGTGTTTGAATGGGTCTCTAGATGGTTTAGATGCACATTTGGACCCGGTAGGTGACGCTGTTATCGAGATCTAGAAATTTTATTTTTTTCATTAATAAGTATTTATACTCACATTATCGATAATTTTAATTTTCAATGTTCAGAATACATACATTGAAGCACCGTTTACGGGGAGGTAGGCCCACATAATTAATAATATTATTACTAACGTAGGACGTACGTCTTTTACAACTTAGAAA